CCCAGGCCGCCCAGCTCTAAAGCTTTTAGAGAATAAGCCTCCATGTACGCGTGCGTCTATGCATTAGACCCTGATTCTGAGGCTCTCTCTCTCTTGCTGAAGGTTTTTTAATTGTATTTCTGCGCGCCCCCGGGAGGGCTCGCGAAGCACCCCCTTTCCTGAGCGGCTGTGGGTCCCGTGGCTGCAAAATATCCGGCAGGCTTAAAGTGTGCCGCTGCGCCTTCTCTGCACACTTCTGTTTCGAGTGACCCTGCAGAAACGCGTTTTTCTAGAAACCAGGGAAACGGCTGTGAATGCATTTTGGGCGAGAGTTGACGTTGTGCTCTTCGACGGGGTTAGAAAGGAGCATTGCTGGCCTGGGAGAGCATTACAAGAGGCTGTTAGCAGCGCAAGCGCCGCGGGCTTTGGAAAGCCGGCGACAGCAAGTGAGCACCGCGAGAGTTGAGCATCAGCATCGTGAGAGCAGCAAATGAGCATCGCGAGCGCAGCCACCAATGAGCATCAGAGAAGCCGCAAACACGGACAAGACCAGAATGTGCCATAATCCTAGTTGCAAGTTTTGATTTCGGAGTAAGATGGGTTTAGGGCACACGGAGGCTGCCAAACAACCGCAAATGAACAGCGAAACGCTTGCAAAACGAACATCAGAGGAGCTGCAAACGAGCCGGCGCGCATCAGAGGAGCTGCAAACGAGCCAACGAGCATCAGGGGAGCTGCAAACAAGCCAACGCGCATCAGAGGAGCCGCAAACGAGCCGGTGCGCATCAGAAGAGCTGCAAACGAGCCGGCGCGCATCAGAGGAGCTTAAAAAAACGAGCCGGCGCGCATCAGAGGAGCTTAAAAAAACGAGCAGGTGCACATCAGAAGAGCTGCAAACGAGCCGGTGCGCATCAGAGGAGCTTAAAAAAACGAGCCGGCGCGCATCAGAGGAGCTTAAAAAAACGAGCCGGTGCGCATCAGAAGAGCTGCAAACGAGCCGGCGCGCATCAGAGGAGTTGCAAACGAGCCAATGAGCATCAGGGGAGCTGCAAACAAGCCAATGATCATCAGAGGAGCTGCAAACGAGCCGGCGCGCATCAGAGGAGCTGCAAAGGAGTCTGCCCTGCAGCCCGCCCCCAACGCCAAAGCAGAGCATCCAGAGCACCAGCGAGCATCCAGAGCACCAAATCAGGGAAAAACAAGCATCCAGAGCACCAAAACGAAACGGGTTTAGGGCTAGGGTGTGGGCAGGTCCTACAAAAAACTAAGCCAGCCCTACCTAAACCGGGGCGCCCACTAAGCTGGCGAACCCCTAACCCAAGCCTCCCGCTGCGGTTCTAGGCTTAGCCGCGCGCCATCCTACACTTGCAAGCACACTCACTGCTACATGGCACATGAAACTTTTTAGGGTTTAGGGTTGAGGGTTTAGGGGCTAGGGCCAGTTAGGGTTTAAGACCTAAGGTTGCAAGCTCAAACCCCGCACTCGGACAAGTCCTTCGAGACGAAAGCTGGTGGTTGTGTCGGAAGGAGCCTCACGGACAACAGACACACACACGCCTGGATCACTGACCATGGTCACTAGACGCGGCCTAACATGCATTGCGACCACCGGTTTCGCTGGAGACTGTACTCGCGCACGCTCTGTCATCGGCCGGGCAACGCAGTAGCAAGCTGTACGTGACTGGCACTTTCGCCGAGTCATGACTGTAGCCCTTCAAATGGGCAACTGGCGGATGCCCTGTTGTTGGCACCATCCCAAAAACGTGCATGCAAATTGCCCCCACCTCCCAACACTTTATGATGTGAAGGCGTTTACGGTGGCTGTGCTAGGCAAAAAATGCGCAATCCATTTGCCCCCCCACCTCCCAACACTTTGTGATGTGAAGGCGTTTACGGTGGCTGTGCTAGGCAACTCTGATGCGTTGATGAGTCGAAGGATGTCGCACTCGGGCCAATTGTTTAGGTAGTACCCTGCGCAAATCAACACAGTCTCCACTCCCCATGAAACTAGGCAAACGGGTCTGCCAAAACCTTGGATTCTGGCAGCTCGTGGACCTCACTCTTCACACGGCGAGTGTCCTTATTCTTGATCTCATCCTCGGTCAGCAGGCGCAGGCCATTGCCGGTGGTGGAACTGGAAGGCTGCAAGCGCGTCATGATTCTGTCCGTCCCCGCGGTTGAACCGCCCCTGCTCTCCGACTTCACTCCGACGATGGAGAGCAATGGACCAATTGCCGCGTAGCTCACGCCACAGAAATCTTTTGCGGCATGGCGCCAAATCTTTGCATTGGTGGCATCGTTGCGTGCGCACCAGCAGCAACGAGTTTCGATGAACTCGACCAAGCGCTTTGAGGGGGACTGGTTCGACACCAATTCGTTTTCAACTTCAATCATGGCGGCCGGCTTTGGGCAGATGATCGTGCCAGGGTTGTAGTCTGAGGTGATGGATGTGTAAAAGCCCGTGGCAACCCACAGCAGCTCACTGTTGAAGCACCCGCGCATGATCTTATCCCGAAGATCTGGGTCAACGTCCTTGCCTTGAAACCGGCGCGGGAACTCCCACAAACAGAGACGTCTTGAAAACCCTTGTCCTGCATCTTCGAAACAAGGTGCATTGTTGCTGGTCATGAAGATCTGGGCCATCACACGGAAACCTTTCGGATCTTGCTTGAACCCCCGGGCTTTCATGGGAGCTCCGGCTTGCTCTGTGGCGGACTTGAGGAATTCCACGGCCAGCTGTCGGTGCTTTTCCACTTCTGACATCCAGATCAAGCGAGCGCCCCGCGTTGCAAGGAAGCTGGGACTGACTCCCTCTTTGGTCTCGCCCTGCCAGGCTCAACACAACCGTCATACCAAGAGCACAAGGGACTCAATACACTCCCTCGGGCCTTCGAAGTGGCATATTTTGACGTTAAGGTCGTCGCCAACTCTTCTCCAAGGGCAGTGAACAGGATGAGCAATAGTGTGTCCTTTGCGGAGCCTCCTGACCCTACGAAGTAGTGCAACCTGCAGTAGCGGGCGTCGGCTGAAAAGACTGCAGAGATGACCCTGCAGAGGCACAGCACGTAGTTCCAGTCAAGGAAAATTTCACGCATGAGCTTAATCAAGGGGCTGTGTTGGCTGATCTGCTCGAAGGCTGCAATGATCTCGCGTCCGAGCTCATCGCTTTCAAGCTGCTCGTCAACTTTTGGCAACCAGCGCCCCACGAGGCTGAAAATGTCGGGGAGGTTCCCAGGTGGACTCCACGGCTCGAAGCGCATTGCCGCCGTAAGCTTCATGCGACGCGAAGCACGGAGCTGCTCTACTTGGCCGGTCTGGAAGTCATACACCTGCCCACACGAAAACAAAAGCTTCTTGCGCGACGCATCCCCATCCAATGGAACAAGCCGCGTCCCACGAGACAGTCGCGCAACCGTGGGCTCCACCAGTTGCGAGCTCAACCTGGTACATTTTCTGGAAGTAAAAGTAACACGGGGGTGGGGGATAAAGCAGCTAAGCAGCAGAGGCAAGTCGTACTCCACCACAGCCCCGGTCGGAATCAAGCTTCTGAGCGCAGCCTCGATGGGTCCGGCCAAGTGCTTGATGTCGCGGGTGTCCCAAGCGCCATCAACAAACCTCTCAAACTTGGCGTCGTGATGTTCGGCTGGGAGGTTGATTTCGCTCTTCAAGCACATCGCCAAGTAAGCACTGAGATCGGTCATTCTTGAATGTGGCTTGGTCGATACGAGGGCCTCGCAGCAAGCCCAGTGAGCCGCGCCGTACTGCTCCCATTCGACATCGGCTGTGGCTGCAAAGTCAACGTCAGGAAAGCGAGTGGATAGCGCTGTCTCAACGCTGCCGACACCAGTTGCCTCGAATTGCAAGGCAGGTAGCGCCTTCTGAAGCTTGCTCACAAGTTCAGGGAGCTGCGCTGAGGTAGCCCGAACCAGGCAGCACGTCCCACGGCAATGCAACACATCACCCTGCAAGGCCGTCTGCATGCGGTCGACACATGCGCGGTAGCAGTTGTTGTAGAGGAGATGGAATGCCATGGCCCGAGGTTGCTGCGTGTGCGCGGCCAGCCAAGCGCGCTGTGCGTCACTCAGTAGATCAGCTTGTGTAGACGCTTAACTTCGATCTCGAAGGCATACATAGTCTCCAAGGCTCTTTGCGACGGGGATGCGCCACTCTTGCGCAACAGGTGCCTGGAGGAAGCGCCAAACAAGACGGCCTCGAGGAGTCCGGAACACCGAGCTGCCGTGTAGCGCTCGTTAACACCGTGGGATCTGTCACACATTGCCGCAGGAGAGGTGGCAAATCCACCTGGGCTGCGCGAGCGCAAGCGCCCAGCAAAGAAATGGCGGGATGAGCAAGCGCCAGCCTGTGGGTGCTTTGCGGTAACGCAATTAACGTGGCCTCCCAAGACAAAGAGTCCAACCCACGACCAGCCCAAACGCATGGGATCCCGCGCTTGATCTCTGCCAGAGCGCACGCCGGCAGGGCGCCTGCAACTTGCGGGCGTTGAATGTCCGCGCCGCGAGCCTTCTTGCGCAGCGGCTCTGTCTCATCGCAGACAGGCTTCTGAACGTAGATGCCTGTGATGGCACGCGGTCTCAAGTCGGTCATCGATGGGGCTGAGTAGCTGGTCACTGGAAGAGAAGCGCTTCCATCCGGCCGCACTCCGAGGACACGTTGTCGCAGGGAATAGAGTTCAGCGAATGGCCCTGTGACTTCACGAACCCCCTGCACACTCAACCAACGCTCAAGACTGTCCACATTGATCTCTTCCGTGTAGAAGTCATAGTCCGGCACCTTTATTGGCAAGCTAAGGCAACACACCTCACCATCCGTCTCCAAATCTTGCGCATCCATACGAGGCGAAGCCAATGTCTCGCTGATGAGGCTGCTGAGCTCAACTGCGGGCACCAATACCTCATTGTTACCAGCAGGACTGAACGTTTTTGCAATTCTTC